TAAAGTAACATTTTTTGCTCATGGTTGTCGTGTGCAGAACCCATAGACAGGACAGATTCTTAGAATTGGTCGCAAGGTGGGGCGTATGTTTGAGCTCAATTATTAGCCTATTCCATATCATAAAATGGATACACCATCATTTCCAAATGATCACTGCATCCAAACCTTGCTCTGTATTGTTGAGTTAGAGTCTTTACAAATTCCATACCAACAAAATTTTCAAGCATGTGTTGCTACTAACATTTCTCCTCTCAATTTATCGCACTCACAGCTTAGATATACTTCAGACGGTAAACGTCGTCCACTTATCTTTTGTGGTTTATTATGATTTGTTCCCAATGAATCCTTGCATTGTGTGTCACGTCAATCTACAAAGCAACCAACTTTATCATTTTTGAGTAGTTATTCTCTTTTTACTGGTCCTTTTGATCTCGTGCATTCTGATGTTTGGGGTCCATCTCTTATACCCACCATGGGGGGTTCCAACTACTTTGTGTTATTTACTAATGATTATACTCATTTTACCTGAATATATCTTATAAAAAATCACTTTGAATCATCACAGCTTTATATTGACTTTGCTACCATGGTCAAAACATAGTTTTTTAAAATTATCAAAGTTTTGATAACTGACAATGCTACTGAATATCTTGGTATTAAACTTCAATCCTTTTTCAAAGAATAGGTGCACTAACGCAACAATCTTGTCCTTAAACTTTTGAGCAAAATGGGCAAGTCGAACACAAACACAGACACATCCTTGATTATGTTTGTGCTCTGCTCATTTTGTCTTCTTGTCCAAAGCGATTTTAGGGTGAAGCTGCTCTTATAACTATTTATCTCATTAATCGCATTCCATCATCAATTCCTAATAACTAGTTTCCATACAAGCGTTTACATGGTATTCTTCTGGCCTATGATCTTCTTAAGGTTTTTGGTTGTGCATGTTTTGTTCTCCTTCCACCTCATGAATATAACAAGTTAGAGTCTAGAGCTCGATTATGTTGTTTTTTTGGTTATGAGATTACAAAAAAAAAGATATCACTGTTCGAATCTTATGTCACAAAAACTTTGAGTTTCACGTCATGTTGTCTTTTGGGAACACACTATGTTCACATCATTGTCAAACTTCAAAGTGTCATTTTTTCATCAACCTCCATTTTTTACTAATTCTTCTATTGTGCTATTTCCTAGTGATTTTGATGTAGGTACATCTGATGTGCTCTATAATGCCTCACCACATGCTCTAACTAGTTTTACAGAAGATGATCTACCTATTGGTAATGCATTAGATAATTTTGAGCCTTCCTCTACTTTCTCATTTATATCACCTGTTGATGTTGCATCTAATATTGTTGAGTCTACAAGTGAGCTTGTTATCCCATCTTTGAGTCATCCTACTTGGGTAAGAAACCCTCTAAGCTACCTTTGTGGTTATCATTGTTTTCCTGTTATTACTTCTTTACTTGAGCCTCAATCCTATTTAAAGGCCTCTTATAACCCTCTTTGGCAACAAGCTAAGCAAGATGAATTACAAGCTCTTGAAAACATTCGTACATGGGATTTAATTGATCTCCTTGTTGAAAAGTTTCTAATAGGCTATAAATGGGTGTACAAGATCAAAACACAATCTAATGGTTCTGTGGAATGTTATAAGACACCCTTAGTTGCAAAGGGTTTTACACAGGAGTATGGAATAGACTATAAGGAAACATCTGCTCTAGTTGCTTGTTTGATATCTGTTCATAGTTTGCTTGTTATTGTTGCTATATGGAGATGGAAATTGTTTCAAATGGATGTGACAAATGCTTTTCTTAATGGTGATCTAAAAGAAGAAGTTTATGTGAAACCACGTCTTGGGCTCAATCATCCTCCAAACAAGGTATGCCGATTGCAATGTGCATTATACAAGTTGAAGCAATCTCCTTGAGCCTAGTATGCAAAGTTTAGTGCTATTGTGAATGAGTTTGGTTTTACTTCCAATCCACATGATATAGCTTTGTTCATTCGTAAGACTTCTAGGGGTATGGTTCTTTTACTTCTTTATGTTTATGACGTGATTACTACTAGAGATGATATCGCAGGTGTGGATGAGCTAAAACAATCTCTCAGTCAGAAATTTGAGATAAAAGATCTTGGTGTTCTAAGCTATTTTTTGGGGCTTGAAGTCATCTTTTCAAATGATGGCTACCTGCTTTTTCTAGTGAAGTATGCCTGTGATCTTGTTTGTAAAGTTGAACTCAATGATAGTAAGAGTGTTTCTATACATCTTGAACCTAATGTCAAGCTTACACCTATGGATGGCTCTCCACTTTTTGATCCTAATCGCTATCAACAATTGGTTGGTAGTTTGATTTATCTTACCATGACACGCTTATGTTAACGGAACATTGTTTCATAGACTCCATTTTTCTACTAACTCCTCCTTTGTGATTCATGCTTACTCAGATGCTAATTGAACTAGTGATCCTTCTAATCACAAATGTACCACTGGTTATTATCTTTTCCTTAGTAATTCTCTTATCTCTTGACGGAGCAAGAAACAAACTATTCCATCTCGCTTCAGTATTGAAGCTGAATATAGAGCTCTCGATGATATCACATCAGAACTTTTTTCATTACGGTGACTTCTTGAAGATATAATCATTCTTTAGCCTTCTTTTACTAATTTATATTATAATAATCAAAGTGCTAGACAGATTGCTCACAATGATATCTTCCATGAACACACAAAGCATATCGAGATTGATTATCATTTTATCCATCATCATGTTGTAAAGGGAACTGTTTGTTTGATTTTCATTAGTTTTACTAATCAACCTGCGGATTTGTTCACCAAGACTCACTTTCCTGGTCGCTTCCAAACTCTTCTTTTCTAAACTTAAGTTGATTTCTTCACCACCACCTTGAGTTTGCGATAGATGTTAGAATAATAGTATTTATTTTAAAATATTATATGCACATTGTAATTAATTATATACATTTAAACTAATTGATTTTATACCTAAAAATATTCTATTATATAGTTTTATACTTAGAAATATTTTATTGTATAAATCTATATATAGGATTTTGTATATACAATAAAAACAAAAAAATAATAAACTTTTTTTCAAATTATTCTTTTCTTTTTTGGTTCCCAACACATATCCTTTTAAAAATACCTTGTTGTGTGGAGAGAATTTTGACCGTGGCTAGAGTATACTGAACTAGAAGAGTAAAGTGTCATTATGGCTAAACTTTCATAACCATAAAACAATAATTCTAAGGTTAGGTTTTTTTTTTTTTTTTTTTTTT